GAGAAGGAATGGAAGCTATTAGCAGAAAACGAAACATTTCTAATGTTATCCCTTACCCTGAGAAATTGTAGTTCTGTGTAGACCCACTTCTTAGATTGAGGATGAGTTGTGGTCAAGTAGCCTGGATTTAAACCTTGTCTTAAGCTGCACTGACAATTCTCTGACCCTGCTAGAGTCTCTTATGATCCCTGAGCCTGTGTCCTCATCTGTAGAGGATCCTAGACCCAGTGATCTGGAAAGCTGAGCCTTTTCAGGTTTCAGATCCTTTGATCTGGGGGCTACAAGGATCCAGAAGAGCCTCAGAGATATACAAGGGCCTCATAGAACAATACCAGTATCTTTTAATCTCCTTTCTCCATGAACTTTGGAAGCCCCTTGTATATGAGTTAGAATCAAGGAAATGTAAAAGTTAGATTGGGAAGTTGGAGTTAAGGTGTATTCATGAAAACTGATGCGATACATTCATGAGCAAAGGTAAAGGAATGAGAGGAGGACTATAGGACATGTAGGTGGGCAGGAAGACATTGCAGGCCTAGATGAGAGCAAAGGGCAAATGCTTTGCTGTGTTACTTCAAGGACTCAAGCTCCTGACCACATTTATGTTTGTTTGTTTGTTTTTTTTATGGCATTTCCCAATCTGTGGTTGACACAGTATACCCCAACTGCTTCTTTATACAATCAGTCATTAGAGGAAAGTCCCCAGTACAGTGTCTTAAGGCATTATTAACAGGATTCCTAAATATCCTGCCAAATTACTAGTTTCTTAGGTCAGATGAGACAACTGGCTGGGGGAAACAAATGGTTGTAGTACTAGATGGTTGGCATTCAAATCCACCCAGAGGCATCTCAGGCCTGAAGATCTGCTTCAGAAGGTCACAGACTTGAAAACCCTATGGAGCAGTTCTATCTGCACACTTGGGGTTGCCATGAGTTGGAACAGATGCAACAGTAACTAACAACAACCAAGTGTACTTTGCTTTACTTATTGAGGCTATATGAAATATGTTTGGAAGCTTTGGAAAGAGCAGTTCAAGAAGGAAAGGGGCATATAGCACAATATTGATTGATTTTCAGATGGTAGTGTTTGTGATACTGCTGCACTAGCTCAGCTCCAAATGAAGACAAAGGCTGGGGAGCTCCTCCGTGCTCGTGCTCTGGAGAACAAGTGCAGACCAAAGGCATCCGAATGGAGAGTCCCTCCAGAGAATCCCAGAAGGACCAGGCACACAGAAAGCACTAATATATTTTATAAGGCTAGGTGTCATTGATAGTTGTGTAAGTCCAGGTTTAAAGGATGTACCTGTTGTTTGTGTGTACTTAGCCCAGGCCCAGCCTTGAGACAACAGGTTATTAGTTTAACTTCCAGGCCCTGGAGTAGCTCAATATGGAAAAAAACAAGACTCATATGTTGGTTCTATAAAGCTGAGAATGAGGGAGTGAACTAGGTACTTCTTACAGAGAAAGAGCTAAGGGACAGAGTCATCCTTGGTTCTCTGATCTAAACTGGGATTTGTACTTACCTACTCAGTAATACTAAGGCTGGGAGTAATACTTCACTGGGAGTGAAGGCCAAACTATCTAAAGCTATCCTAGCCAGTCCTCCTTCTAACAGAAACTCGGGGAACTGGCGTGTTCAAAGTTGGTAGGGGTATGGGGACATGGCACACCAATTATGGAGGGTTGGTTACAGAATCCCATTGTATGAATAGGCTGGAGTTCAAATGGATTCCTAAATTCTGTAGAGCAAGTGGAGTGAGTAGTCCCCTTGCTGACGCTGTCCAGAACTCAGCTACAGACAGACTTGGAGTGGAGACACCAGCAAACTCCTGGAAGCCAGAGGCCCTGGGTGCTTTGCCATTTCCAGGTTAGTTATGGATACTGGAAAGATGGGAATGTAGAGCACAACCAAAAACCATGGTCTTTTCCTAGTAAGAGACGATATATAGCAAGGTTTAAAATTTTATTTTGTTTTTAAAGGAAAAAAATTATCATGGTTATGTACAGAGGCTCTGAATTCAAGATTTCCTGTGTTTACAATCCTTACTTCACTTACTATCTGTGTGGCCTGTAGCAAATTACTGAACTTTTCTCCTCAACTCTAAAACAGGGATAATTACTCAAGTCTTAGTTTTAAGGATTAAATAAAATAATGCATGCACACTACTAATAAATAAGTTTTTAGTAAATGTGAGATTTTGTTAATATACCAGTAATGCACATACATAGGGCAAAAGATGATTAACACTGAGACTCCACCCAGCTTCTCAATTATCCTCCCTTGGGCTTTATCACTAATGCTTTATCAGTGCATTGCTTGACAGATTCAGTACAGTGTCTTTCTTCACTCTGATGGAAATTTAACCTGAAGGTGATCACAAGATGCAAAATTCTGTGTTCTTCTCAAGGCGATGAATATGTTTAAATGGGCATTTTTTTTGTTTTTGTTTAGGAAAGCTCATGTTTTTTCATTTCAGCCATCTTTCTCCAAAGGATTAAAGCTTTGAACAGGATGGACATGGTAATGTCAAGCCCCATACTCCATTCTGAACATGTGTGTGCACATGTGTGCATACATGCAACACACACATTCACTCTTTCTCACATGCAACACACACGGACAGATGGACTCTCTTTCTCGCTTAGTGATAGAGGGGGATCCACAATCTGTAATTTGTGAAATCGTTAACAGAAGGGTGTTTAGGGAGCTGATTACCTGGGAGCTCCTTGCTCATCTGTAGTATTGGGAACTGCTGCTCTTCTCCCTTCTAGAAGACTTTCAAGAAGGAGCCTGAGGGGGTAAGGTGAATCAACAATGGTATTGGAGAAAAGATTCTTTCCACCCCTTCTGGAGGGAAAAGAAATAGCAAAGATCAACATGGCTGAAGAGGAAGGCAAATGGAAATAGGGAAAATGAAAATAAATACCCATACGCTAAAGAAGAAAGGAAGAGTGACAAGGAAAGACAGCAAAGAGCTTAATAGCGTAAGAGAAGAGGAAAAACAAGCATAAAGCAGAGAAATGACTCCTATGTTAAGGCTGACCAGGAGGAGAGTTAGAAGTCATGAATGAATAGACAGAAGTCCCACTTTTCCATTTCACTGTTCAGGGTACGGAGCAGACCACCATTTTCTGGTGTCATTTAATCTTCACATTGCTTTGCTCTTGATTTGAAATGTTTCTTACTTCTTATACCCAAAATTCTTTATCTTCGAGAGAGCCCCAAAATGGTTTCCTTTCATGTTTAGGACTCCCATTCATCTTTTTCCCAACAGCAGTTCCCCAAAGCTGTCCCAGAGCATCCAGACTGGGTGTCTATTTAGGGAAGGGCAAAAGTAAGAGGCAAACGATGAGGTGTGATTTGAAAGAGATCCTCAAATATCCCGAGCCAGAATTGTGTCCAAACCTGAAAGACCCATCCTCAGCCCCAACCAGACACTCAGGGCTATTATCCTTGCAACAGCAGCACTAGGTTGGAAGACTGTGGCTTCTAATCTAAACTCTGCCACTCATAGATCATAAAATGTCAAAGCCAATTTAATTTCCCTGGGAAGAAACTCAAGCCAAGAGAGGTGAAATAATTTGACCAGTTATACAATTAGTCAGTGACTTCCTTTTCTTTCATGGCACAGAATAAATCAGAGTAGTGATTCTCTTTGATTCATTTTCTCTTAACAAATGCAATCCATAAAGTGCTTAGAGATCATTAGAAGGCATTTCCAGAAAGGTAAGGCTGGCATTTTTCTGGAAGCTCCTGAGTGTACCAACCCCTTGGTGGTGGTGGTTATGTGCCATGGAGTCTGTTCCGACTCATAGCAACCCTACATAGGGTTTCAGAGCCTATAAATCTTTATGGGACAGAAAGCCTCATCTTTCTCCCCGGAACTGCTGGTAGTTTCAAATTGTTGACCATGAGATTAGCAGCCGGATTCATAACCACTACACTACCAGAGCTCCTTGTACCAACCCCTTGTGGTTGTTAAGTGCTATCGAGTCATTTCTGACCCATAGAAACCCTGTATAGAGTTTCCGAGGAGCAGCTGGTGAGCTTGAACCGCCAACCTTGCAGTTCAAATGGTTTTGCAGTCTGGCGCATTAACCTACAGCGCCACACCACCAACCCCTTGTTATGTGCCGTGGAGTCCGTTCCGACTCATAGCAACCCTGCATAGGGTTTCCGAGGCTGTAAATCTTTACGGGAGCAGAAAGCCTTATCTTTCTCCTGTGGAACAGCTGGTAGTTTCGAACCCAACCCCTTAGGCACCCGTTAATTGACTACAAGGGCAGGTCCAGAGTTACTTTTGCCTCCATTTTAATCCCCAGGCTTGCTCGGAATCTGGAGGAAAGAGCTCTGACTGCTACCTGACACTGCTCAGAGCCAGTCCATGCCAGGTACTGTCAGGAGTGACAAAGGAATCCTGTCATAATACCAGGGACCAGGGAGCAATGGTCAAATTTCTGGGATTAAGCAAGGCAATTATGGCTGAATTAAAACTAGGATGGACAGGGCTGGGAGACCTGAGGAGACAATAGAAGGTAAAAAGAGAAATGAGTAATCTAAATAACGTCAACTAGGGTGGGTTCCTACATCACATAATACCGCCTCAATTCCAAAGAGGTGCCTTAACCGTCTACTGGGCAGGCCTGAGAAGTCTCTCCGCTTTTTCCCCAGTGCCCACTCACGGAAGAGAATGGCACCATCACCTCTCTTCTGTTTTTCATTTCTAATTCCTCCAACACCCTTTCCGGTCTCCTTTTTCTTACGCTTTGGATTCCTTCCATTTACACCCACCCAGCGTTTTCCATCCCAGTATCCCCAAGCTTCTTTGATTCTACTCACCCACCCCACACCCCTTTGACTTCTCGCACCCTCCCCCACTTGACTCTTTTGGTCTAATGCCCGACAATCTTGGTTTCTCCCATCCCTTTCCGCGAAGTCTTCGGGTTCCCCCTGCCACCAGGTGCCTTTGGTTTTATCCACCGCCGGCCACAGGTGCCTCTTCTCAGATAAAGTGAATCCAGCCCTGGGGTTCTGGGGCTCCGGCACTGCCCGGATGCTCGGGCCCACGTAGAGCATAGTCACGGCCACCGTTGTTGTCCCAGAACTCATGACCCGTCACACGGTAACGCAAGGCGAAAAGCAGAGCGCCACCAATGGGTGGCGCAGGCAGGCGGAAGGCGAAGCGGTCCGCACGCGGCGGGGGTGGGGCCGGGCCTGCATAGGCAGCAGGAGCTTCACGTTGGCTGCGCCAGCCGTCGGCACTCCAGCGCACGCTCACGCGCTTCTCGTAGGCTAGGTCCAGCACGCGCGCGCTCCCGGCCACCCCCAGCGGGCCCGCCTCCGCGCGTTCCAGGCAAATACGCTGTGCCTGCAAGCGGGCTGCAAAGCCAGGCTCGCTGGCCGGCTCCAGGGCTGCGCGCGCCTCCTAAGGGAAGAGCAGAGGGAGGGAGCGGGGAAGCCCCCGGGCAAAGAGACAGAAAGAGAGACAGGGGCGGGGTGAAATCGAGGCAATGGATCAATCAGAAACCCACCTTGGTATCCCAGCCGTAAAATTGGGGGCCCAGGTGTACAGTGACCTAGAAACACTCGATAACGGAAACCCCAAGAGGGACGAGCAAGAGCATGCCCAGAATTGGAGACGGAGATGGGTGCTCCTTGACAAATCCACTCCCACAGCAGCCGGGTTGAAAGGTTTCGGGAAGAGGCGTCCCTGCCGCCTACCTGGAGGCCGCGGTAGCGGGGCTGACAAGGCGCGAAGTGGCGGAGAGCGTCCCTCTGCAGCTGGACCTGCACGTGGCGGGGCACCCGGGGTAGTTCTCCAGGACGGAAGCGGCGCACGGAGGCCAGCTCCAGTCCCAGGGCGTCGGCGAAGCGCACTCTCTTGCGGGTGTCGGGACTACGGCTGCGGGGCGCCCGGACCCCCCCGCCTCCGGCAGGTGCAGAGCGGGCCCGGCGAGCCCGAATCGAACCGTGTGTACGGGATCGGGCCCCGTGCCGCGTCCCGCCCTCACCTGGCTCCTCCTCCGACTCCTCCTCCAGGCTGGGCCTCTGGCTGCGGTAGTAGGCGCGCTCTGTTAGCGCGGCAATGAAGCTCAGGTTGCGCGGGATGTCAGTGCGGGGGGGCCGTTCGCGGGACATGGCATCCCCCCGCCCCAGTGGGGCCCGCCCGTAGCGCTGTCGCGCTGCACTCTCTCCTTTCTGCTCTGAGTCCGCGCAGAAGCAGTCGGGTCAGCTCAGCAACCCCGTGCCTCAGCGTACTCTCCTTGCTGTCACCTCCAGGGACTTACACCTGCCCTTACACTGCCTCGCTTCTTCGGCCACCTTTTCCTCTTTGGCCGGCTGTCAGCTCCCAGAGTCTTGCACCATCACCTTCTGCCTCCTGTGAGTTGACTGCTCTGAGCGTGCGCTCAACAGCGCTCACTCTCTGGTCCTGCGGCCGATGCATCTCCGGCCCCCGCCCACAGCCCTCTGACAGGTGGCTCCCCATCTGTCTCAGCTGTCTCCGCAGCTGCAGCTGCACCAGGGGGCGGGTCTCCACCCTTTCGGTTCTCACTCAGGCCATCTAGCCTGTCCTCAACCTCTCTGGCATGGGCAGAGTTAACTCAGGGAGAAAAGTAACTTATCCTTTCTTGATGGGAAAAGTTCAAAAAGTACAGCGTGTTTTCTTTAGGGCTCACTGTTTTCTTTTGTTTATCCTAGGCTTTCAGCGTAGTGGATTACAAGCTGGTGCTGCTAATCACAAGCCCATCAGTGGGAGGAAGATGAGACTTTCTGCTCCTGTAAAGATTTACAGCCTTAGAAACCCTATATAGGTGTCTATGAGTTGGAGCCAACTTGACCGCACACAACCACAACAGGCTCCAGGTTCTGGAGAAAGGGAAGGTCAGAAAAGCTAGGTGGTGGTGGTGAAGTGCCATCCAGTCTATTCCGACTGGTGGAGACCCTGTATAGGGTTTCTGAGGAAGAACTAGTGAGTTTGTTGTTAGCCCCGTGCTTATCCATCCTACAGAGCCACATCAGGACTCCAAAAAGCTAGGTAGAATCGTAGAAACTGAGATTTCCTCAAAAGAGTGGGTGGATGATCACTGCCCATTAGAGTGTTGTGGGGTGACTTATATTCTAGCCCCACTTCTGGTGCTATTTAGCTATGTGGCCTTGAACAAGGCACAACTAACCTGGACCTCAGTTTTCTCATCTGTACAAAAGTGTGCTAGAGCTTTGCGGCATCTACTTCAAGAATGAAGACTATTCTCAGCAACTAGAATGTTGACACTGGGGAGAACATTAACATCAGTCTGAAGGGCCACATAGCATAGTCATAGTGAAGGGCCCCCAGGGAACCCTGTGGAGGGACTTGAACCACATCAATGTGGAAGCTCAGCCTCCTGGGGAAGAAAAAGAGGCTTTGTGTTGACAAATGGTGGGGAAACAGAAAGGAACTGGCTACAGTCCACACCATCTGTAGTCATGTGCAGAATATGATCAAGGGTGTTACACTGGGCTTCCGTTACAAGATGAGGTCTGTGTATGCTCACTTCCCCATCAACGTTATCCAAGAGAGCTGGTCTCTTGTTGAAATCTGAAACTTCTTGGGTGAAAAATACATTCGTAGGGTTTGGATGAGGGCAGGTGTTGCTTGTTCAGTATCTCAAGCCCAGAAAGAGGAATTAATTCTTGAAGGAAATGCCATTGAACTTGTATTAAATTCAGCTGCTTAATTCAGCAAGCCACAACAGTTAAAAACAAGGATATCTGAAAAATTTTGGATGATATCTATGTATCTGAAAAAGGAACTGTCCAACAGGCTGACAAGTAAGATATAAAAGCTATCCAGCTATGGAAACAAGTCCTGGTGATTCCTAATACCTATTAGTGATATTTTTGATGTCATAAAATGTATCTAATCCAAAAAAAGTGTGCCAGAGTTATGATTTCTAACCTGACTCTTAATTCCTTTGAGGGCAGGGACTATGTCTTGATTCATAGTCACTTTCAGAACAAAGCAAGCCTACAAATCATTGAATAAATGAATATACTACAACTCTTTTGGGATTGAGAATGTGGGATTCTAGTTCCAGTGGAAGCTGCTTAGACTAAAAGGGCACATAGCTGGGAGTTTTTTTCTTTTCTACATTAGTGGAAAAAAGTGAACTTTTTTTGCCTCCTATATCTTTATTGGAGTCTTGGTGTTGCGCTGTCGGAAAAGTACAGGACTACTAACCACAAGGTTGGCAGTTCAAACTCTCTAGCCACTCCTTGGAAACCCTATACAGGGTTGTTGTGAGTCAGAACCAACTTGACAGCACTTAACAAAAACATAACTTTATTATTGATCTTATATATTTTTTGTTGTTAAGTGCTGTCAAGTCAATTCCAACCCATAGCCACCCTGTATAGGGTTTCCGAAGAGTGGCTGGTGAACTTGAACTGCCATCCTTGCTTGTGGTTCAAACAACTTTGTAGTCTAGTGCATTAACCCACAACGCCATACCAGGACTCCTCATCTTATATTTGTTGTGGTCCAAAGTCTAGCGCTGATCCTACAGCGCCAGGACTTACAATATGCCTGATATTTTGTGAGCTCTGGTGTGGCATTGTAGAATAAGCACTGGACTGGTAACTGCAAGGTCAGTAGTTCAAACTCACCAGTCACTCCATAGGAGAAGGATGAGGCTGTCTGCTCCTGTAAAGATTTGATCTCAGAAACCCTTTATAGGATTGCTATGAGTTGGAATTGATTAATTGGCAATAGGTTTGGGTTCAGTTTAGTCTGGTTCTAAAGTCAGTGATGGAACAAATGGTTAAGCACTCAGCTCCTGATTGAAAGTTGGTGGTTGAATCTACTCAGAGGCACCTTGGAAGAAAGGTCTCCTGGTAATCTATTTTTGGAAAATCAAAGCCACTGAAAACCTTACAAAGCATAGTCATCCCGAGTTTCGAGTAGACTTGACAGCAGCTGGCTTGGATTTCTTTTAGATGTCTCTAGAGCCCACCCTCTTATTTACTTTGTTATTTAAATTAAAACATTTTGTAATAGTTAACATCTTCAGAAAATTAAAATGGGAAATGTTAAAAATGTAATCTCTAAGTTTGAACAGCAATGTCTTAATTATCTAGTGCTGCTATAACAGAAATTCTACAAGTGACTGCCTTCAACAAACAGGAATTTATTCTCTCAGTTTAGAAGGCTAGAAGTCTAAACTCTGAGAGTTGGGTCTAGGAAAAGGCTTTCTCCTTTTGCCAGCTCTGGGGAAAGGTCCTTGTCTCCTTTCAGCATCTATCGGCCCAGATGGATCTCCATGTGTCTTGGCATCAATCTTTCCTTGGATTTAGGAGCTTCACAGTGTAGTGACCCCAGGTCCACAAGACACATCCCACTCCCGGCTCTTCTCCCTTGGTGGTAGTAGGTCTCTCCTTCTCTGCTCACTTCTCTCTCCTTTTATATCTTAAAACAGATTGACTCAAAATACAACCGAATTCTTTAGATTTAGTTTGACCTGATTAACAGCATGTTTTTATTAAGTGCCACTGAGTTGGTTCTGACCCATAGTAATTGGATTTCTGAGTAGTGGCTGGTGAGCTTGAACCACCAACCTTATGGATCAAACTGACCGAAGTCCAGTGCATTAACCTACAGTACCACATAGAAGGTGAGAATTTATAACACATAAGATAATTACATCAAATCAGAGCAGATCACATCAAGAAGTGAGGATTTATAACACATAAGAAAATTACATCACATTATGGGGAAAAATTATATTCTATTAGGTATTATCATGGGGAGTTTTTACATCTTAACTACTAAACCACTGAGAATCCTGTCCCAGCCTAGTTGAAACAAAATCACAAGTGACTAAGTTGGAAGTACACAGTGAGACATGTATCTAATTGTATAATTTACTCCTGTTTGCATTTTAATGCCAACATATTAACCATACGAATGCTATTTAACCAGGACTCATTTTAAAGTGATATTGGGGTATACTTTTCTTCTTTTACACATACATATAAAACCGACAGACATATTCTCTTCATAGGGTATAAAATAATTGCACACTATATTACAATCAAAGAGTCCTGGTGTGGTGCCGCACTGGACTGCTAAATACAAGATCTGCAGTTCAAAGCCACCAGCCACTTGGAAACCCTATACAGAGTTGTTGTGAGTCAGAACTGGCTCAACAGCACACAATATATTAGGGTCAAAAAGAGGCCTGATGGTGCAACAGTTAAGCACTCAGCTACTAACCAATAGGTTGATGGTTCAAGCCTACCCACTAGCTATGAAAAAAAAAATAGTTATCTTCTATAACGATTTCAGCCAAGAAAGCCTATGTGGGCAGTTCTGCTCTGTCATATAGAGTTGTTATAAGTTAGAATCCACTCAATACTACCCAACAAACAACAAGTAGTTACCCTGGGAAAGTATGTAATTGAAGGACTAGATGGGGTTAAAGAGCAGCCTACATGGTCTATGGGTTTCTGGTAAAGGCTCTTTTCTCTTGTCTATGAGCTGCCATCCCTTGGCTCTGTGGTGTTGATCTGAGATGATCCTTTGGCTCACATGTCTGGACCAGATATAAGTTGTGCATCTGGCAGCTGTGTTCCCCTGGCTGCTCAATCTGAGATTGAACCTTTATTTCAAATAAATCTTTATTTCTTAAGCAGCTGCTGCAGACTTCCAAAGTCTGGCCAGAGGCATTGACTGATTGGTTCAGTGTATATACGGAAGGCCTATTCGGCTATCAGGAGTCCTGGTGTGGCACTGTAGGATAAGCACTGGACCACAAGGTTGGTTTTAATTCAAAGGTCAGCAGTTCAAACCCACCAGCCACTCCTTGGAAGTCCTATACAGGGTCACAATGAGTTGAACCAAACTTAACAGCAACAGCCATCACCTCTAGGATGAGACCTATTATGATGTAATCACCCAGTGATGTGATCTGATGTAGCTACCCATATGTGTTGTAGATTCTCACCTTCTAGTATGGCATTATGGTAGCATCAAGGGGCTCAAGCGTGGCAACAATTGTGAGGTTGACCCAGGACGTTCTGAGATGCATAGAATCGCTATGAGTTGGTACTGATTTAATGGCACCTAACAACAACAATGAATTATGTTAATGAAGGAGCTCTGGTAGCTTAGTGGTTACAGTAGGTCAGCAGTTGGAAACTACCAGTCATTCCGCCAAGGGAAAGATGAGGATTTCTGTTCCCATAAAGATTTACAGCTTCGGAAACCCTGTACAGGGTTGGCACACCACCACCACCACGATGTTAATGAGGCCAGATGCAATCTATAGGAATAGGTTGTTATCTTCAGTCAATCTCTTTTGAGGTATAAAAGGAAAGAGAGAAGTGAACTGAGCTTGAGGGGCTAGGAGTGGAGTATATCTTTGGACCTGGGGTCTCTGCCCTGTGAAGCTCCTAAATCCAGGGGAAGATTGATGTCAAGACACAGGGAGATCTCCAAGGAATGTTGGGCCTACAGATACTGAAAGGAGACAAGGACTTTTCTCCAGAACCGACAAAATGGAAAGCCTTGCCTTAGAGCTGGCACTCTGAATTTGGACTTCTAGCCTCCTAAACTGTGAGGGAATAAATTTCTCTTTGTTGAGGCATCCGCTGTAGTAGAATTTCTGTTATTGTAGCACTAGCTAGCTAAGACAGCAGCTAAGCGCGTTAACCATCTGCACCACCCAGGGACTCTGTGAGGACACAAAGGTAAATAAAATTCAGCTTCTGCTCTCAAAGAGCTTATAAATAAACAGTCAGAGATATATTTGGATCTGATGAAGATGGCACAGGACCGGACAGTGTTTTATTCTGTTGTATATAAGGTTGCTATGAGTCAGAACCAAATAGATGTCCTTAAAAAAAAGTTCTCAAAATGTGTCAATTGTTACTTTTATTGTCACAGAAACTTTTTTTCCCTCCAGTGACCATAAAGATAGATGGTAACTCCAAGGCTTGGGCTAGAGGTATAAGCAAATGGAGCCAGCAGGAAAGGAAAATATTGAGTTGCTTTTTCTAGCCTTTAGTTAGGATTCCCTCCAAAGGGTACAAAAGGTAGTGACAGCTGCAATAGCTTGCATGATGACTGAGACCGCTGTGAAACCAGCTGTTCCCACTCATAAGGAGGGACCAAGAAAAATGCTTAAGTGTTCTCATGTGGACCAGTGGTGGCTAGAGATAGAGATTGCCTTACCCCCTATGAACTGCTCTCTGCCCTTTGGCTGTAGATACGTATGCAACCTGCAGTGGCCTTGTGCAGGAGAAAAATATACACAGGAAATTAAAGACAAGCTCTCTAGAGGAGAAATTCCTCTAGAGCTCTGGGCAGGGAGCTATGGAATTTCTGTGACATTCAAAAATAAATTGGGTAGATTTCCATTATCACGAGAGAAATCAAGTTTCTGAATAATATTTACTATATGATTTAATTTACATACTAAAAATCTATATATTTGTGCTTGTGAAGAAGCCCTGGTGGTACTGCTAACAGCAAGGCCCAGGCACTCCTCAGAAGACAGGTGAGGTTACCGCTCCTGTGAAGATTTACATCCTGAAAACCCTATATAAATTTGCCAAGAATCAGAGAATCAACTTGATGGCAGTGGAGTTGGTTTAGGATATGTATGTGTCTATATGTGTTGTTGTTGTGTGCCATCATGTTGGTTCCAACTCATACCAACCTGATGCACAACAGAACAAAACACTGCCCAGTCCTATGCCATCCTCACAATTGTTATGTTTGAGCCCATTACTGCTGCCATTGTGCCAATCCCTATTGTTGGAGGTCTTCCTCTTTTCCACTGACACTCTACCAAGTATATCCTTGGAACTGATCGCTCCTGATAGCATGTCCGAAGCATGAGAGACAGTCTTGCCATCCTGGCTTCTAAGGAGCATTCTGGCTGTACTTCTTCCATCACAGATTTGTCTGTTCTGGCAGTCCAAGGTACTTTTGATATTCTTCTCCAACACCACAATTCAACTGTATTGATTCTTCTACGGTCTGCTTCATTGTGTGCATGTGTGCATATGCTGCTGATGTGAAGTGCTGTCGAGTTCTTATACATGTATTCCATGGAGCAGCTGGTAGGTTTGAACCACCAACCTTGTAGTTCAAACTGACTGTGGGGTCCGGTGCTTATCCTACAGTACCTCACTATATATAAATAAATTAATAAATATATATATATATATATTCAGAGTCCTGGTGTGGTGCTGTAGGATATGCACTGGACTGCAAGGTTAGTATATATATATATATATATTCAGAGTCCTGGTGTGGTGCTGTAGGATATGCACTGGACTGCAAGGTTAGTGGTTCAAACCCACCAGTCGCTCCTCAGAAACTGTACAGGATTGCTATGAGTCAGAACCGACTCAAGGGCACTTAACAAAATATAACTTTATTCGAGTCCTGGTATGGTGCTGTAGGATGAGCACAGGACTGCTAACTGCAAGGTTGATGGTTCATACCCACAAGCTATTCCTTCGAAACTCTATACAGGGTCACTATGAGTTAGAACTGATTCAAGAGCATTTAACAACAGCAACATATGTATACCGACCAGCTGCTCCTTGGAAACCCTATATAGGATTGCTATGAGTTGGAACCGACTCAAAGACACTTAACAACAACATATGAAGAACAAAGACTCCATAGGATAAGCACTGGACTGTGTACTGGACTGCGAACCACAAGGTTGACAGTTTGAGCCTATCAGCTCTCTGTGGGTGAAAGATGAGGCTTTCTCTTCCTGCAAAGATATACAGGGTCTCCATGAGTCAGAACTAACTCGATAGCACTTAACAACAACAGCTGTATATATATAAATAAACACATTTGATGCATGTAAAATTCAAAATGATAGACAACAACTTAACGCTGGTGACCTCCAGGAAGGGAGGTAGAATTGAAAGTGGATGAGGAGAGATTTATACTTTTCATCTGTACTCCTAGATTGCTTACCTTATTCATGAGGAGGTCATACGTTGGATTTAGAAGAAATTAAATCATCTGATGACTGAAAAAGAAGATGAAGAAAAGTTACCTGCATGAACTGCTTGTTTTCCAAGTCTTGGCTCCCTGATGCTTGGCCCCTGCCTCAGCCCATGAAATCACTCGATTAAAGACCTAGGAGAAAAGACAATGGGAAAGGTTTGGTGACTGAGTCCATTAATTCCACAAAGGTAAGGCACTTGGCCTGAGGTTCTCAGGGTAATGGGAAACACTTTTCTAGGCATCCACTCCCACTCCAGCGCTGGAAAAGTTCAACAAGTGCATATAATATCAGGAACCTTCTTGAAATATTGCATTTGCTCTGAGATTTCCCCAGGCCCAGTGCATTTCTGTGGGCAGTCTTGAGACTCAGTAGCCCGGCCTGGGCCACCTCCCTTACTTCAGCAGCCCTCTTCCCAAGTTGTGGCCCTTTCCAGGCCTACGTACCAGCCCCGCCCCTCTCTCTGGACGCATCTCTGGGTCCCATCATCACCCGGCGCCAGGCCCTCCCTCCAGCCCGCCCCCCCTTTCTCCTTCCTTCCTTCCCTCCCTTCCTCTCCCTCCCTCCCTCCCTCCCAGCTCCTGCACCAGGAAACAGCCCGGATCCCGGCAGCGGCCTGACCCGTGAGATCCCCAACCTGGCAGGCAGGCGGGGTTGTAGACAGGCTGAGGGTGGGGGTAAGGGAGGAGCTGGACCTTAGGGCTGCGCTGGTGGGAGCCCGGAGTAGAGATGGTGTCGGCAAGAAGCCTTTGGCCCTGTGTTTCCCGGGAAGACAGTCATTAAACATGGATTCAGCCACACAGCTGGTAGAGCGTAGAGGGCAGAGGCCTGGACCCAGGAGCTGCAACCCGAGTCCTTCCCAGGCCAGATTCTGTTCCCTGGCTTTCCCTGCCTGGCTCTGATTTCCCCCTCCCTGTCCCAGGGCTCCACGCTGGCCGGTAGGATGAAAGGCCCCAGCTGGGGGCTTCTTGCCACCAGTGCTGGGTCCTAAGAGCTGCCATCCAGACTGGGTGAGTGTATTTCTTTTCTCTGCCCTGGGCACCCCTTTGCTTCTCCCACCTTTCTCTTCAGCCCTTACCTTTTTCCTCACCTATTCCACTGCTAACATCTTCACGGCTTGCCTCTGGGGAGGTCCTAAGCCCCTTCCTGTAGCCAAAGAGCTGTAGCCAAAGAGATGCGCGCTGTAGAGAGGTGGTCTGTAGGATGTCATAGAGCTAGTGCTTTTTTATTATTAAAAGAACCTGCTGTACTAAACATAAAATGCACTTGTTTTATATTTAATTTGGCATAATAGGAAATTAATGACCAGACCGGGTGCTGGCCCTCACCATGACTTAATTCCCCTCCTTGTCTAGTGGTCTGAGCACTCCCTCGCATCCACACCCTGCACCTCTGTGCTGGCCAAATCTGAGATACTCCTTTGGAATCTCTGCCCATATATTCATGCCAATCTTTCATTCCTGACTCTTGCAGCCGCCCGCATGGCGACCCCAGCCTCAGCCCCAGACACACGGGCTTTGGTGGCAGACTTTGTGGGCTACAAGCTGAGGCAGAAGGGTTATGTTTGTGGAGCTGGTCCTGGGGAGGGCCCAGCAGCTGACCCGCTTCACCAAGCCATGCGGGCAGCTGGAGATGAATTCGAGACCCGCTTCCGGCGAACCTTCTCAGATCTGGCAGCCCAGCTGCATGTGACCCCTGGCTCAGCCCAGCAACGCTTCACCCAGGTTTCTGATGAACTCTTCCAAGGGGGCCCCAACTGGGGCCGCCTTGTGGCCTTCTTTGTATTTGGGGCTGCGCTGTGTGCTGAGAGTGTCAACAAGGAGATGGAACCACTGGTGGGACAAGTACAGGAATGGATGGTGGTCTACCTGGAGACACGGCTGGCTGACTGGATCCACAGCAGTGGGGGCTGGGTAAGAAGCTTCTCAGTTCTGCACATCCCTCTGCAAAGCTGGTCTCCAGGGGAAGGTGGGGGCTGATTGGGGTTGGGGGCTGTCATGCTGGGAATGAGGCATGAGGGCTAAGTCTTCTCATTTGGGTAGACTCAGACTGAAAGGTGCCCTCGCTGTGGGCAGGCATAGCACAGGGCTACCATGCAGTAATCATTGGATGAGCTCATGGTCCAAAGCAGAGAACAGAATACATAGCACTGAAGGACTGCCTGCAAACGGCTGTCAGGAACTTTATACAACTGAGGACAGGGCCTGAGGGATTGGGGTGGTTATCAGGCAAGACTTGGCAAAGGACACTAGTTCTAAGAAGAATTTTTGGCCAAGAAAGGATAGGGTTCACTTGAGGCAGAAAGAGCAAATGAGCCAGGCACTCACGGAGAAGTGCACATGGGGCTTCCAGGGGGTTTGCAGACTAAAACTTTGGCCAGGGAGGAGCTGGGTGTGAGGTAGTGTTCACAGTGGATGGAACTGGAACTCTTCCTCTCCTCTTTTCTCCACTCTTTCCTTTCCTGATATCCCTTTCTCCTTCTTTCTCTCCTACTTCCCTTCTCTCCCACAGGCGGAGTTCACAGCTCTATACGGGGACGGGGCCCTGGAGGAGGCACGGCGTCTGCGGGAGGGGAACTGGGCATCAGTGAGGACAGTGCTGACGGGGGCCGTGGCACTGGGGGCCCTGGTAACTGTAGGGGCCTTTTTTGCTAGCAAATGAGAAAGTCCAGGGCCAGGTAGGACTAAGTGTGGCTGGGGGACCGGAGAGCAGGAACAAAACAGAGGCCCTTGGAGGAAGTGGGGTGAATGGATGGGCAAGGAATGGGGCGGGCAGGGGAAGGGTAGGGGGTGAGGGAGCGGAGTGTGTCAGGCAGGTGGATGGAAGGGTAAGCTGGAGACATTGGGCAATGTATTGGGAAGATCAGGGGGGCCAGGAGGTGGAGTCATTCCAGGGATGGGGGGAGGTGGCAGGGGTCATGACTATAGGTGTGGGCACACCCATCGACATCTTATCGGGAGCTTGGTTTGCAGCTCTGAGAAAGGGGAGCTTACACAAGGAATTGCATCTCCATTGGATGAGTGGGACTTGGGGAGAACACAGGAGATGCATCCCTTTGGATGGAAGCTCACGGGGTCCTCGGGGTAGGGAGAAGTGGCTGTAACGGGCTGCTGGGACATGCGTGTGCATGTGCACGCGTGCTCGTGTGCATGCTGGGCTGCTTGTCTAATCTGGTGGTGGGATTCTTCCAGGAGAAAACATTCCCTCTTGCAGTGGCAAGAACAAGGGACAGTTGTCTGCCCCCTCCTCCCAAACCCCTCCTTCCTTTTCTCTTGTCCTGGTGCCTCTAGGCTGAGGGAGAAACACTGTATCCAGACAGAGGCCTTTGGGCACTTGCCTGCAGAAAGTAGTTGGCAGGGCATTGGAGAAGAGAGCAGTTCTGCAGCAGGCCTTGTTCCTTCCTCTCCTCCTTCCTGTGCATCACACACTTGCTGCTGCTTCCTGGGCTCTGACAGACAGGCAGGGCTGCAGAGCTTGGGTGGGTAAAGGCTTTCGGAGCTGGAGCTGTCTGCTGCCCTCCTCTCCCACTGAGGCATCACAGTGCCTAGAAGTGTTCCCTATCTCTGGGACTTCTGTACCCAAATTTAAACACTAAATTGGGGCTCCAGCTAATTTTCCTTGAGTGTGTGGACATAAATGCTGATCTAGAGTCCAGTCTAGGTCCTGCAGTATGTCTCAGTGAGACTGAGAGTTGATGCCTTGAGAGAAACATTTCCAGCTCTGAGCCCCACGGATGCGAGGGTGATGTGTACTCTGTGATCAGTCTTTCTGTGCGGTGGGCTTTGGTGCTGCTTTATCAGGGGCCAGGTTATGGGTTCTAGAGTACCAACCATGACCTAGAAGCATTCATATTTTCTTTGAAGACACGCTGTTTGCATGAGTGTTACTTGTCTGTACCTCACAATCTGGGGGTGTTGAGAGCTCACAGTCCTCTAGAACAGATTCTGGTTATAACTTTTCCTTTTGAATAAGAAAATATTCACTCCAGATGCATGCCCTGAGCCAGACCTCACTGCTGCACTTTCCAAGGTGCTAAAATTGCTGCTCTTCAATTCTGACTTCAGATGCAAAGTGCTCTAGAACCCTGCCCTTGATCCCGAGCACCAATCAGCTTTGCTAGAATATGGTTCGCTCTTCTTGGAGATTTTCATTTGGTCCCAGAATATGGCAACTTAGTTGTGCTCGTTAGACTGTGGGATCAGAATTGGCCTCAGGTGTTTAGTCCAGACTTTTGCTTTTGAGAGAGGGCTGCACTTTTTAATGGTATTTATAGGGGAGGTGGTAGGCTGCATGTGCCACTTGGTCTGTCGTGAGTATGCTGATAGCAGAAACTCAGAGCTGGTCTGTGGCAGGCAATTGGGGTGGGGGTGGGGGGTCTCTGACTTGCTCAGGGCAAACTAGGCCAGTGGTTTTCAAACTGCTTGGCAGAGCCCCAAAGTTTCCTAGGGGTTGCCTCAGGAGTCCTTGGGGAGATGGAATGGGAGCTGAGCAGGCTGGGCAACTTGCCATCAAACAGAACAGCTCCCCATGTAGTTGTCTTACATATCGGGGTTCAGGGTAAGATTTTATTTGAATTATAGGGTTTGCTGCTGGAAAAAGTTGGAAAACCACTGACTAAACCATCAGCTCCAAATTGGAGCCTGTGCTCCCCCAAGTTTGGGGCAGACTCTTCACCCTCCCCTCTACCACAGGATGCCTATCCCTGTTAGCTTTCCTTTAGCAGTAGGGGCAAATGCCCTGCTCTGGGCCTTCACACCTGGCTGGAAGGAGGGGCTGTTTTCTGAAAAGGGTAAAGGCTTGGTCTGGATTCCTAGAAACATAGCTTGGATGGGACCACAGTGGGCAGTTTTGACCTGTCCTGCCCTTCTTAGCTTGAAGGGCAATGGAAATCCCAGAGACTTTTCTGTCAGGGAAAACTAGGGACTCTTCTAGAGCCATATAGTTCCTTGGGATTAGCTCTTAGCCAAGAAGGCTGAGTACGGCTCCCGATTTTTAAATCCATTTCATTTAAAAAAACATAAAATAATGTAATTGCCATTTTTCACAGAATAAATAGGTGGAGAGGGTGTTTCTTGCTCTCCAGAGCCCAACGGGACAAATAGGGACTTTGCTTTGGCCAAGGAAAGAGCGGAAGTAGGGCAACTAGGTCCTGCATTTATTAACCCCACTCCCCACTTATTTTAGGGCATATATTATTTACTTTTTTAAATCATAAAATGGCGGGAGAACAGATTTGGTTAGTTTAGAAGAAAAAAGCTCTATAAATATAAATATATATTCCTGTATTTTTATTTAATAATTTATAAATACCAAGTTCATTTGACTTTTATTTTTGTGTAATATGTAATGGTCGTATTAAAAAAAAATAAATAAAGCCCAGAAGTTTAATGAGGACTGAGTAGGGTTTGTGACTTCTATACTGTATGGCCTGGGATCAGGACATTCCTTGATCTAGTCATCTCTTCATGACCTTGCTAATGACAAGAATTATAGGTAGTTATAGGTGTTGAGTATTAGGTACTTGAGGTGTTGAGATGAAAAACAATAATAGTAAAAAATCAGGACCTTCCCAATATTCCCCTCTCCCAATCAAATGCCCAAAGCCAAGAATTCCATCTATGCCAACCCAAGCTATGCTAGCAGGGTGTATGTATGTTGGTACTTAGTATTGTGACAAGAAAAAACAAAACAAAGAAAACCTGCACAAAACCTTTGCATGATAGCAGTCATCTCCTGGACTGTGGTTCAGTCTCTAGTCAAAAGTGTGTGATAATGATGAGCATTTCCCCTTGGATCCCCTGGTGTCTACCTCAGACTTAACATATGCCTGGCAAAAATGAAGCCCTTGTTTCCTTTCCTGGTCCCCTGAGATGTTTGGCTTTAGTAACATTAATGTATACCACTAAATTGGATGGGATTGACTGGAATTACTCAGTCCATCCCTTTGCACTTCTAGTCGAGTCAGATATCAAAATTATATCTTACAGGAAACAGGGATTTCTAGTCTTTCTATAACCCAGTGCAATAAACTGGTATTTAGGTTTATGTGTTAAATTGTAGTGAAACATATAACTACTAAGAGGAATCCACTGTTACCTTTTAATCATCTCTCTGTAGAAACACAGAGTAGCTTGGTGAACATGACATTAGGGAGAAAGGAAATAGATGCTTTTAATAGTTAATGGCATCAAACTATAATGGTGCATTTATCTCCACTTCAGTATGATTGATTTATATTTGCCTGGTTCTGAAGAATAATTGGAACATCTTATTCTAATACATAAAAGGTAAAGCAAAGGAAAATAGATTTTTACAATAGAGGTGAAGACAATACTGTACTATTATTACCATAAGATGACACCTCCCCCCAAATTAAATGCACACAAAAAAGCATTCTCTAAGCAGTATTCCTGAATATTAAAGCAAGACAATGAATTCAGCTCTGGGCTTCTTGGTAGCTTAAGAAAATTGGAAAGTACAATAAAGTTCACATACCTCTTAGGATTTATAAAAGTTTATCAATTACTCAAGGAGCAAAAAGTTTTGTAGCTATTCTGAGAAGACAGAACTCAACATATTTTCTGTTAGGTGGTGTAGAGTGAAATGACTCTCTACGCCACCTGGTGTGGCACTGTAGGATCAACACGGGACTGCTAACCACGGCAGCAGTTCAAACCTACCAGCTGTCCTCGGAAACCCTACACAGGGTCGCTTTGAGTCAGAACTGACTTGACGGTACTTAACAATAACAACAAAACCACCTGACAATAAACATGCTGTTGAGTTTTGTACCACTGTTTCTTCTAGAAAAAACAAATTTGGATTCAGTAGATCTTAAGCTTATTCTATCAAGCTCATCACACTTAAGCCCTACAATGGTCTGGGTTTAACATAGGGCCCAAATTTGGACTAGTTCTGATGTTGTGCTATAGGATAAGCACTGGACAGCCAGCCACAAGATTGTTGGTTCGCGCCCACTAGCTGCCCTACAGGAGAAAGATGAAGCTTTCTGCTCCTGCAAAGATTTACAGCCTCCAAAACCCTATACAGGTTGGCTATGAGTAGGAACCAGCTCATTGGCACTTAACAACAAGGAACAGATGGATTATGTATTCTTCAGACAGTTCTGTATGGATGTTATTCTCCAAATGTCACTTTTGATAAAAATTGGACATTTAGTTGAATTTCTGACAAATGGATATAGATGTTCTGATTCTGCTTTTACATAAAGGCAAATATTTTAGACAATTTTAAACTAGCTAAAATGTGGATATATATGTATGATATAAATACACAATATTTTAAAAATCAACTAGGATACATGATAGAATACTATATAGTTCATTCATTCATGCAGCAACTATTCTAGCATCTTATGTGTGCTAAGTACAAGTCGCAGGCACTACTAGCACACACTAGTAAACAGACACAAATCCTTGCCCACATATTTATATTCTAGTAAGGGAGTTCTGGTGTGGCACTGTGGGTTAATGCGCCAGACTGCAAAGCTGTTTGAACTGCAAGTTTGGAGGTTCAAACTCACCAGCTGTTCCTTGGAAACCTTATACAGGGTCACTATGGGTTGGAACCGACTCAATGGCACTTCACAACAACAACAAGGGTGATAAAAAAAACTAGATACATTTCATAGTATTTTAGAAGGTGATAAATACTGTGGAGAAAAATTGTTAATTGAAGGGGGAATGAGAAAGTGTATGAATAGATTTAAATTTAAAATGTGGCTAAGGAAGAACTCATTACTAGGGTGGCTTTTGAGTTGTTAAATTTCATCGAGTTGATTCCGAATTATAGCAGCCCTGCATAGTTTCTGAGTAGCAGCTGGTGAGCTTGAACCCACTGACCTTGCATTTCAAACCAACCTTGTAGTCCAGGCTTTTGAGTAGAGCCATAAAAAATGATGTTGGAAAAATATATTTATTGACGTGGAAGGATGTTTCTGTAACTTATTGAGGAAAAACTGAAAGATTAGAAAACAATATATACAGTATGACTCCATTTTTGCTAAAACACATATATGTATACTTTTTTATGTACTTGCATGTTTTAAAAAGTCAGGAAAGGTGTATGCCAAATTATCCTTAGTGATTATCTCTGGGTGATGGAATTATGGGTGATTTTATTTTCTTCTTTCTGCTATCAATATGCTCTGTTGTTTTGATAAAAACATGTATTTCTGATACAATATATTGAAATTTTTTTCAGGTACAAAGTTTAGAAAAAGTTAACCTAGCAGAATGAAAATTAAGCAGCCCAACAGAGACTCCTTTTCATTTACGTAGCTCCCCAGGACCTAAAGAATTAAAGGAGGCAGGGGTATACTTTGCATTAGAAAATAATTGGAGTATGCTTCAAAGTAGAGATAAGTAAGTGCTAAAGACACCATCAGTGCCCAATTGGAAATATAATGCAAGCCACATATGAGGGGGCTTAAAAAAGTTGATAGAATTCTATTATCTTTTTAATTCCATTTTTCCATGTCCTTTTTGAGGCCCCCTCCTATGTAGTTTTATATTTTCTAGTAACCACATTTAAAAAAGAAAAGAAAATGAAGCAGAATAATATATTTTATTTAATCCAATATAGCAAAAATATGGTCACTTCTCAATGTGTAATCAATATTATACAATTGTTGAGCTACTTTATTAATTTTTTTTTTCATGTAAAATCTTCAAAACATCAAAATCCAGTGTGTATTTTACACTTTCAGCATGTTTGAATTCAGATTAACCATATTACAAGTGCTCAGTAGCTGTGTGTGACTTGTTTTTGTAACAGCGAGTCAGTTCTGATTCATAGCAACCCTGTGTAGGGTTTCCAAGGATCAGCTAGTGGGTTTGAACTACCAATCTTGTAGTTAGCAGTCCAGTGCTGATCCTATAGTGCCACACCAGGACTCTCAGTGACTGATGGCTGCTATATTAGGCAATGTAATTTCATATTGTAGACAATGATTGCAGAAATTTCAAAGGAGTTTAAAATACGGATGAAACTACTAAGAGGTCAAATATTTTTGTCTAGTAAGGAAACTTCTGGACAGAGCTGGAGATGGCTGGTCCATTATTTTGATTAAATTTTCTTTTTCCCAACTCTACTGATCGTTTCTTTGTATTAACATATTTTTCCCTCCTCTGGAACATTATATTATTGTAATTTTGGTTTATAGTCTTCTGTTTATTTATATGTTTGGAGTCCTGTACCCGGTTAATGTTGCTGCAAAGTCGGTTTGAACTGCAAGGTTGCCGGTTTAAGCTCACCTATTGCTCCTCGGAAACCCTATACAGGGTCGCTATGGGTTGGAACCAACTCAATGGCACTTAACAAAATTTGTATGTTTGGACTCCTCGTATGGCTCTGCAGGTTAATGTACTGGACTGCTAGGTCCATTTGAACTGCAAGGTCATTGGTTCAAGCTCACCAGCCATTCCTGGAAACCCTATACAGGGTCACTATGGATTGGAACACTTAACAACATTTATATGTTATTAAGGAAACTTATAATCATAATGGATGACTCTCACCATTTCTTAAGTCAAACATTCTCAGGAAAAACTTATCTCTGTCATGTTCTGTATATACCAGCAGAAACTATATTAACTAATATTATTAATTACTTGAAGATCATTCTGTTAACATGTATTGAGCACACAGTAGTGGTAAGTGTTGGTTGTGTCCTGTCGAGTAAGTTCCAACTCGGTGACTATATATGGTTCCCACGGCTGTAAATCTTTGAGAGAGCTGAAAGCCTCATCTTTCTCTTGTGGAGTACTTTTGAACTACTCACCTTGCGGTTAGCAGTCCAATTTGTAGCCCAATAGGATAAATATAATTAGGATTGTGTCCCTGTTGCCTACAGTTTATAGTCTACAATCTAACAGAAAAGGAGCTTACTTTACAAGTCACTATTCAAATATCTTTTTAAATGTGTGTATTTCTTCATGAAATAATCATGCTTAATAAAGAATATATGGAGTTGGAGAGAGTTTTAAATAAAAAAATTACAGGATTATGGAAAATTAGAAAGCAAATTTATAAAGAAGGAAGTCATTCGTAATCCTATACTACCCAGAGAGAATCACTATTAACAGTTTGGCATATTTTTTTCCAATCTTTTATCTGTGCATATATTTTATGATCATACTGTACATACAATTTTGTATACTGAAATTTTGTTTACCATTGCATTGCAAACATTTTTCCTTGTCATTAAAATGTTTTGAAGGCATAATGACTACATGAAATTAGATCCTATGCTTGTGAAATAATTTTCTTTAAATTCCCTACTTGAACATTTGTTCATATTTTTTCACTCTTTATTCATAAACATTTACTTATTTTTATATTATTTCTTTAGAACCGATTATAAGAAATAGAAGCTTTTTATATCTATCACTAAAGAACAGAAAGGTTTTTCTGGTTCATGTCCTTTTATTTTCTCCTATTTTATTTCTCCAATTTAAAAAATTCATATATATGTGAATTTTATTGCCCAGCTGCTAATAACCAGCCACTCCAAGAGAGAAAGAGAGGTCGCTCCCACAAAGATTCACAACCTTGGGACCCTTTCAGGGTAGTTTCCAAGACTCAATCCTATAGGGTAACTATGAGTTGGAATTGGCAGTGGGGTTATATACAGTTTTACATTCTACTTCTTTGGACTAACAAAGGTTCTTTTTTTTTTTCATAGTATCACAGACTATATTTGTTAAGTGCCATTGAGTTGGTTTTGACTCATAGTGATCCTGTATAGGGTTTTCAAGGAGTGTCTGGTGGGTTTGAACTGCTGACTTGTGGTTCACGGTCCAGTGCTTATCTGACAACGGCACACCAGGAGTTCCACAGACTATATATAAACCTTTTAATTGTTATTAAGTGCCATCGAGTGGGTTCTGACATAGTGACCCTGTATAGGGTTTTAAAGGAGCGGCTGGTAGATTTGAACTGCCAACCTTGCGGTTCAACCCAACCTTGCAGTCCTACTTATCCTACAACCACACACCAGGACTGGATGTAAACATAGTTTATTTCAACAGTTATCTAATGTTGGGATTTAGTTTACAATTTTCAGAATTATACATAATAAAATTTTTGTGTATTAAAGCAGACTTTACAGAAGTTATGATTTAAGTATTGAAATCTAGCTTTGAAATTTGCTGCTCACTTCTAAATTAGTTCCATGCCTTGGGGAAGTTACTTTACTTCTTTAAGCATATTCTCACCCCCCTACACACTCCCACACCCCACCCCCACCCCACCCCACCCCACCCAAAGGATATAGTTTGGAAAATATGTACTTCATGGAGTTTTTGATGAATTTTCAATGAGATATTAAAGAGTCTAGCATGGTGTCTATTACAAAATCAAGTTCACAATAGGACTCAAAACCATTTCCCTTAGTTGGCCTGATTACTTGAAATTAGGTACCAATAAAATATCCTAGTCTTGATTAGGGAAGATCATTCGTCTGAAAGACCTTTCTTACAGCGAAATCACAATCATTTAGAGCTTGTCTGAGGTGCTCAGCTTAAGCTTCCCCTTTTGCTGAAGTTGATGGCTGTCCTGAAAATATTATCAGAGACTGTGAGTCCTCTATAAGTTCCTAAGAATAACAAGAATAAGTTGTGCTGAGGGAAGGGGCAGGATATAGTGAGAAATTTGATTTCTTTTTTAGGTATACTAATAGGGATTTCGTTTTGTTTCAGTCCCTATGCCTCTACCAGGCACAACCCCGTTGGGGTAGTTTCATACTTTCTGGTTGGTCTCTTTCACAGACTTTCAACCAGTTTGATCTGCTACAAAAATTCTTCTTGCAAACTTAGTACCGCCGTTTCTACCTATTTAAAATGTGATAATCCTGCCTTCCGGAGTTACATCTAATTGCTGTCTCTGAGTGCAGTGAGATGGTGGGAACCTACAGTGGAAAACTTCCTCTGGGGTCTGAAGGAGGGTTTGGGGGCCGGCAAAGCACTGGAGATAAAGGTGGCATTTAGATTCCCCAATTAATGCACTCTTCTGCCAACAGACATTTATTGGACACATTATGTGTGAGGAATAATTCCAAACTGGGATACAATTATAAATAGAATCCAGCCCCTCATCTCTAGGGAATCACAACCTAGTTAGAAAGTGCGGCATAAAATTAAGCAGAGTGCAGGTTGACCCGCTTGTCACCATAGAGGAGATGATGGCTTCATAAGAGAAATGAGTTTTTAGGGTCTGGTTAGTACTGCTTTTATAGGGGCACCCACTGAAAAAAAAAATGGGCGTGGAAACATTCGCTAAGTAGCCAGACCCTGCGTGTTTCTTAGGCCAGGTTAAGAAGTTGAGATTTAATGAGGCCAGCAAATGGGAGCCAGGTTGGTCTGGTAGCTGTGAGGATTAGAGGCTTGACCGTGACAGTTGAGAAACCCGTTAGGGGGCTATAGTAAACCGTCCAGACAAGAGAAGAGAAACAGGCTAACAGTGGAGGGCTTGGAACAAGGATCTATGCTGGAGGTAGAACGGACAGGACTCATGAGTGAGGATTCCTTCCCACTTTCTGGTTCAGGAAACTTAACGGATAGTGATGCCAATAACCTCCATAAGGAAAGTAAGTTCCCTTATGGAGTGCTCTATTCAGAACTCTCCATTCCCAGCAACATTCCATCTACTGGTATTTTCCTGGGCAGACCAGTTTCCAAAACCGCCACTGTCTCTTCAGCCTCTGCCTTCCAAACGGTCACAAGCTGGCATCCAGTAGAACAAAGATGGCGGCCCTTGAGGAGTAGGTCATGTGACCTCGGGTTTTCCCTGCTTAAGCTGGGCAGTCCATTTGGGGGCAAAGTTCACGTTCCGCATACTGGGTGGCAGCCTTTCGAATATTGTGAGCCAATCAACATCTGAGACTGGAGCACTGCGGTGAGGCAATGGGAGGATTGGTCCAGTTCACATCGCCTACACGGGCCAATCACGGAGCGTCAGTACTTCGTAGGCCCGCCCATAGGCGGGGGAGAGAATGGAATGTCGTCACAACGTGGCAGTATTGTTACCTAAAGGCTTGAGGGGAGGTGGGACGTATTTTGATTGACAGACAGTTTTCCCCTATTGGGATTTGAAAAATTGGCGAAATATCCCGCCTTAGAGGTGGGGTCTTATTTGATTGCTAAGTAATATTCCCCAATGGACTACTAGTTCATGGTGACGGGCAGGCAGCTTAACTAATGAGTCCTCGCCGTGGCCGGCGCAGCTCTCCAATCGTCGGGCGGCGGGCCCCAGTCTGAGCGGCGATGGCGGCGGCGGCGGCGGCGGCAGCAGCAGCGGGGGCTGCGGGCGGTCGGGGCTCCGGGCCGGGGCGGCGGCGCCATCTTGTGCCCGGGGCCGGTGGGGAGGCCGGGGAGGGGGCCCCGGGGGGCGCAGGGGACTACGGGAACGGCCTGGAGCCTGGGGAACTGGAGCCTGGGGAGCTGCTGCTGGAGCCGGAGCCCGAGCCTGAAGAGGAGCCGCCCCGGCCCCGCGCCCCCCCGGGAGCTCCGGGCCCTGGGCCTGGCTCGGGAGCCCCTGGTAGCCAGGAGGAGGAGGAGGAGCCGGGACTGGTCGAGGGTGACCCGGGGGACGGCGCCATTGAAGACCCGGTGAGGAAAGGAGGGCCAGATAGCGCTCCGACGGGGTCATGGGAGGCCCAGAGCTCGGGCGAGCGGAGGCAGGCGGGGGGTTGGGGTGGGCGGGGAGTAACGTGGCTGGGGACGGGCCGGGTACCAAACCTGGATAGTCTGAAGAGCCCCGGCCGGGTTGTTTGGGGTGTCATGGGTGCCTAGCGTTGCTCTCGGTTAGGTAGTTTGCTTTTCTTTTCTTCACGATCTCCATGTGGGGTGAAGGAAACAACTGGAGTCGCACGCGTATCCAGAGCAGAGCACGGCTGCCTTTGGATCCTCTTAATCTCTTCTCCATTCCTCTCCCCACTCATTGTAGGAGCTGGAAGCAATCAAAGCTCGAGTCAGGGAGATGGAGGAAGAAGCTGAAAAGCTAAAGGAACTGCAGAACGAGGTAGAGAAGCAGATGAATATGAGTCCACCTCCAGGCAATGGTGAGTAACTGGCTGTTGTTGCACGCGGACCCCGGGTCCTCGCATTGGCAAAGTGGCAAGGTTGCGGGGAGTGAGGAGACGATGCGATTAAGATGCCCGGGACCTTGGAGCTGCTATTTGAGCAATTACTGGGTGAATAACGCGGTCATAGTCTATTTTGTGTTCTTCTGACCTTTGTGAGACAGAACCTATGGTTTGGTAATGGTAGTCTGGTACCCACCTTCCTTTGTCCCTGTTAAGAATGTGTTGTTCTTTGTTCTGAGTCGACCTCTCCTTTTCTTTGAGGTTGTCTGCTAGCATTTGACCTTCAAATCTAAGTTTTCTAATTTTAGTTAGAGACCCTTTAATTAATACGAGTCTTAAGAGAGGGTACCCAGCCTCAGAGAGTTTTCCCTTTGTTATTCAGAAACATGAGTCTTATCTACTTAATTTTGTTTCTTTTTCAAGATATTCGAATCGAAGCTATTCAGTAGACTTGATGTAGGGGCTAGGGCTTCCTATGATTTTTTTTTAAGATTGTTGTATTTTATTCCTTAACTTGTCAAATACTTTGTGAGTACCTAATATGTATTCTATGCTACGTGCTTAGGAGAAAAGATGCATTTTCTTAATTGTTTTTTCTTCAAAGCTGGCCCAGTGATTATGTCCATTGAGGAAAAGATGGAGGCTGATGCCCGTTCTATCTATGTTGGCAATGTATGTACTGGGGCCCTGTTTGGGGGTTGGGGAGAAGTTCTTATGTTTTACTAGAAGTCTTTTGAAAGGGTTATATCCAAGATGGGTAGTGGGTCTCTGATAAGGGGAGCTGAGCAGGTGGAGGGGTTGGGTGGAGATAAAAGGTAATAGACTGATCAGCAGAGGCTCTGGGGTTGGAAGGAAACGAATTAGTTCCTTAGATGTGTCTTTGTATACAGTGGCCTGACCCAAATGTGAGGCAGGGAACCTGTTGAGATGGGAGTTGGAGTCTATAAACTCTCTCCCCCAATCAGGTGGACTACGGTGCTACAGCAGAAGAGCTGGAAGCACACTTTCATGGCTGTGGTTCAGTCAATCGTGTTACCATACTCTGTGACAAATTCAGTGGCCATCCCAAAGGGTAAGTAGGAAGTAAGTTCATCACTTTTAGAATATTGTTTTTAGTATGTATCAGGGGTTGTACATAAATCCCATTAAAGGCCAGACATAAAGGTTAACAAGAACAAAGTGGGCCACGAGTAAGTTACAATCTGAAGGAAATTCAGGCCCCCTGAGTACCACCCTAATTTATGGTTTTCTAAGAGTAGCTGGAGATTTGACAAATAATTACAAATTCAAACACATTACACCCAAACAAATCATGTCATCAAATTGAATTTGACCTATGAGCTGTTTGCAACCTCAAAGAGGGAAAGTGACCATTATTCTTTTTTAGGTTTGCATATATAGAATTCTCAGACAAGGAATCAGTGAGGACCTCCTTGGCCTTAGATGAGTCTCTTTTTAGAGGAAGACAAATCAAGGTAAACCACGTGCTCATTGCTGTTGTGGTTGTATGTAAACTACAGATTGCTCTAAGGCTTTTTGTTGTATGATGGGGCTTTGGAAGTTTGTAGAAAAACGAATGAAAAGGTAATGAAATTTTTCCACAAACTTTTTGAACCCCCCTGTATATCCCTCATACCCAGGTGATTCCAAAACGAACCAACAGACCAGGCATCAGCACAACAGATCGGGGTTTCCCGCGAGCACGCTACCGTGCACGGACCACCAACTACAACAGTTCCCGTTCTCGATTCTACAGTGGTTTCAACAGCAGGCCCCGGGGTCGCGTCTACAGGTCAGGATAGATGGGCTGCTCCTCTCCCCGCCTCCCGTGAGCCCAGTACACTACTTTCCCTCTTGGTTTGAGGCAACTTCCTCCCCTCCCCTTCCCTTTGGTCTCCTGCCTGTGCAGGTTGAGGAAGGTAGTTGGAGGGCCACACCGAGAGGAGACCAGTCTCTTCATCTTTTCTGGAGCAGAAATTGGTTGATAAGGGCTGAACCTCTCCATTCTGTTCTGAGAGATGCTACCTCCCCAAGCCTTTTTTTTTTTCCTCCTCCTTGGGAGTGAGTGGCAGTGAGTGTTTACATGGAAGACCAGAAAGAACAGGGTGACCTCAGCAGCAAAAACACTGCTTGGGACATTTGCTACTTTTCTCAGAGTTGGAGAGTTTGAATTTCCCTTGGATGCTAGTTGATCCTCCCCACAGTTATGTGGGAGGATACTGAGATATTTGCTTTTCACTGAGCTAATCTTTTGTAAGATTAACTTTCTCCCTGCCCTGGGCATGCCCTGTGTTACAGCTTTACTCTAGTTTCTTTATATTTAAATAGACATATTAGGCGTATATAGCTCCAAAAATCACTCATCTGCTTTCAGGAGTTAGGGAGGATCTATCTGTACCTGAGGGCCTAGGGTTCAAGAGCTGTGAAGAGCTAATAACTGGATAAACAGTGGGTACTCTTTTTCTCTGGTAACATAGTGGTTACAAATCGGGCTGCAAACCTTAAGGTCAGCAGTTCAAAACTACCAGCTGTTCTGCGGGAGAAAGATGAGGCCTTCTGCTCCCATAAAGATTTACAGCTTTGGAAACCCTGTACAGGGTCGTTATGAGTCGGAACCAACTCCACGACACATAACAACAACTCTTTCTTATCCTATATGGTGTGTTGCTGTAGGATTAGCACTGGACTGCAAACCATAAGATTGACAGTTCAAACCCACCAGCTGCTCCTCAGAAACCCACTACAGAGTTGCTCTGAGTTGGAACTTAACACCTAACAGCAAAAAATATCTATCTCGTGGGGGAGCGTGATGGCTCCAATGAGAACCACAAAGTCTGCAGTTCAAGCCCACCAGCCACTTCAAGGGAGAAAGATGAGGCTTTGTATTCCAGCAAAGATTTAAAACCTTAGAGTCTATGGCACTGAATAACAACATCTTGTATGGAGTCCTGGTGTGGCACTGTAAGATAAGCTTGGACTGCTAACCACAAGGTTGGCAGTTCAAACCTGCCAGCTGCTCCTTAGAAACGCTCTGCCAGGGTCGTTTTGAGTCAGAACTGACTCAACGACACTTACCAGCAACAACATACCTCATGAGAGTCCTGGTGTGGTGCTGTTGGATAAGCATTGGAGTACTAACTACAAGGTTGGCGGTTCAAACTCACCAGCTATGCCTTAAACCCTATACAAAGCATTACTATGAGTTGGAACAGACTCAACATATTTCAGTGAGCCACTGTAGCAAAGTATTCTTTTGCTAGTTCTATACTACCCCACCCCATTTTTTAGGTGTATCTGTTTTGGAGAATATAGGGTTAGTTAGGACACTTAAAAATATCTTTCCCCCTTCCCTTCACAGTAACTGGGGCAAGGGCCCATGGGGAGGGGCTTGGCTTGTACAGAAATAAATACACTGTGATCATGTTACATGTTAACACCTAACTCTCCTTCTTTCTTCTAGGGGCCGGGCTAGAGCGACATCATGGTATTCCCCTTACTAAAAAAAAAAAAGTGTG